CCAGCCACACAAAGCTTGGGGAACATTTCAATTGGCACGCCGTTCTGAGACCCAAATGCATATGCGGACTCTGCTTGAGTGTCTAGTCATTTACGGGCACTGGTGTAATGTTAGCGGTGGATTCATCCCTGAGGTGCGTATCACGTACTGTAGAATGGCCCTTCGACATTGTAAGGGGGTATAATCCTCAAGTCATAATTCACTTCATCAACTGACTGAACAAACTCGACTCGGCCCTCCTTTATCAAGCGCTCCAACCCCATCGAAGCCTCACCATCGGATTGGGTCGCGTCAGGCTTTGGATCCGGACTGACGATCGTCAAGGTATGAGTTGAAGGCCAGGTATAAAGGCGATCGATGAGCTCGTCTGGAAGACCTCGCTGTTCTCGCCCATGGACGATGTCAAAGATTGGATTTGCACAAATGATCGTGTTGAGTGCGAGCAATGTGCATGCTGATTTCTTGAGGAAGTTTATGAAATCCAGCGACGGGACCTGGAGCGTTTGGCAGGTCTGCATGCTACCGACAATTCTGGCGTTTATCTGGGGTTCAAGGTTGGCTTTCTCCAGCGAGATTGCCTCGAGCTGAAGCTTTGATCGTTGAATGAAGTCGACCAACATGCCACTTGCACCGATTGTGTTCGTGATCGAATACGGATCCGAAATGGCGATAAATTGAAGTGACTTAAGGGAGGGTAGGGTGAGATAGATGAGGGTAAAGGAGGTCGTGTTGCCTCTGATAACCAACGTTTCGACATGGAGGATCGTAGGGGGCTTGCGCACAAAAGACCTTGCTGCATCGCTCTCTATGGATATGTCGGCCAATTCAAGATGTCGAAGGGCTGGGAAGTTTTCGGGATTGAGGAGCCTTGGTAGCCAATCATGGCTACATATAATGAGGTCTGTGAGAGAGAGCGTCTCGACAGACGTGTGCGTGAATCGAGCCAGCTCGATACGGGCGGGGTCCAACTCAGGCTCCTGCTCAATCTTTGTGTCGATAGCAAAAGAAAGATTGAGATGAGTGAGAGATTGAAGGATTCCTAAATCGATGTCCTTGTCGTCGTCAGGGAAAATGTTAAGGGCGAGACGCTTCAGTGACCTGCATGGCTTGCCTCCCTGTAAGGTGATGTTGTTGATGATTCGGAGGAGGGTGTCGACATCCAGGTTCAAGTAGATTTCGTGCCAGTTCCAGCTGTTAGACGTAACAAACCTTGTAAATCGGTGGCTCGACTCTCCGTCGCTGGGATGGTCTATAGCCCCGAGTGAAAGGCGTAGAGGGGCCCCAGCTCCTGCACGGGCGAACCAAGTCTCGAGACTATTAACGAGCTCCGCCGTTCTGAACCTTTGATCAAACCGTTTGATTTCAAGGTTCCTCCAAAAAGTTGGTGTGCTCGTGATGATGCCATCCCAGCGCTTGCAAACGCAACGGACAGAAATCAGCGTACGGCAATCTTCCTTGCCCATGACAGCTGGTCGTCGGATGGTGTTTCGAAAGACGACAGCAAGGATCTCATTGGGAAGTTTGCGAATAGGCAAAAAGAGGGACTTGAGAGCGGATTTTCTGCTATTCAAGCTCGACTGTTCTCCCATTAACGGCCTCAAAGTTGCCGGCAAAGTTTGGACTTTCCCATCGACAACGGCGATGGAAGCCTCCACTTCGCGAATCTCCTCCAGACAGATTGGTGTAAGCGTGGCGGGTGTTTCTTCATTGGATCTGATGTAGGCGTCGAGTTCCATGATGTCGAGAGAAACTAGGTTGAACCTGAAGACCAGCGCTCACCACTCGGTTCGGTCGTGAGATAGCCCCTAAAGCGGGCTGTGGGAAACTACCATCAGGACAAGACGTCACTGCGCCGCGACCTTGCCCTCCTTGTTCCCGACTACATAGGTCCTATCCATCAGTGTGCCCTTATAGCTTTCCAATAAACACTCTACAAACTTAGTCATGTCAAATGCTTACCCGACGATAACCATCGACCTCGTAAGCGAACCTCACTGGCCTCCTCGGACTGGCGCTGAGGCATTCATCGAACGCCACCCTCTGGCCTACCCATGACTGTTCTCGACAATTTGGCTTTCGTCTGGATTCGGTCTACTTCGATCCTTGAACGATCAATGCATGGATCTAGATCTTGGATAGGTCAACCGTCAAGGATGTTCTCCATGGTGTTCTACACTCCATCTTGTTCCATCGGCTGTTTGGGACGATAAAACCAACCTCCTTCGAGGTTCTAGATGTCACCATGGTGCGTATCTTTGTCACGTCACTCTAACCAAGCAGTTAATTGGCCCACTTGGATAGCCTGGTGTGGCAGATTCCGAGATCGAACAGCTCGTCAGCACCAAAGTCGATAGCTTCTGGAGGAATGTGGACAGTGGGATCCGGAGAGGAAAGGTGGGATTTCTACACGGCCTCCTAAAGGTCCATCTCCAATCAAATCCTCTCAGGTCGTCGTCACATTCTCCCAGAAGATCGAGAAGAAGAGTTGGTTTAGCGCAGCGGAGGAGTTGGTTCCTTGGGAGCAGTGGTAGGTCTCCGCCGTCTCTTTGCTCGGATTACCCTCTCGCGCCTACCATTTTCTACCCGTAATCTCGTCTTCTAGATCTTTTCACTGATACACCCTTCCCTTTCAGGGTCATCGACGCTGAGATTCGTCAACGTGAAAACGCTGACCACAAAGCCCTGGCGCAACACCTAAGCAAGACGCTCCGTCATATGCTCGAACACACCTCCTCTGAGAGTGGCAGAGCGGCTGTGCCTCTCATCACGAACGCTACCGGAATCTCTCCATTCCCTGTCGATATCGCCGTCAGCTAACCGGCGTCAAGCTTTGTCACTGTATACGTACGTGCAAATAGTGATATTAGTGGACAATGGGTCTAACATACGAGCATATTACAGGCATAGATTCTAATAAATACAGTCAATGCCGCCTATCATGTGCTACCTGATTCAGGGCCGTAAGGGAAGACCTGAGCGCAAGTTCCATTACCCCCAATGGTATCGTAAAAGAACTGCAAGTTCTTGTTCAGATTCCTCCTCAACATACCCGTGGGGTTGGGGTACAGGCCATGAACCTTGATGAGCACAAACTGCTGATAAAACGCACAAGGATCCGTGATGCTCCCTTGCGAATGATCAACCTGGAACGTATTCACTCCATTCACGTTGCTTCCCGGCTCAGTTGGATGGGCAGCGTAGATGGCAGCGATGGCAGTGGTATCGACAGGCTTTGCAGGTCTGTGGAAATCTTCTGGGAAGTGCATGTCTTTGAAGAAGCGTTCTGCGGTGGCCATGTCCAGCTGACCAGCCTCTGCTCCTGTCTTTCGACCGTCGACAAAGAATTGGGCGGGGAACGAAGCTTCAGCGTAGGCTGTGTTGTGGCGGAAGCCGAGCATGGTAAAGTTGGGATTGTGCATGATAGATTGTTGGATTCGGTGGTAGCGAAGCTCGCCGGCGACGGTTTGGTTGAAGAACCCATTTCCGTAGATCTCGCTGAACATTTTGAACTGTGGGCAGGGCGTTAGGTCAGTCATTTATTCGGCAGCGTGTGTCAACAAGTGCTTACCTCGTCGAATAGGGTCTGGTTGAAGGCGTGATCTTCTCCCCAGAATGTATCTGCGCGAGTCAGGCTAGCGTCTCCTTCGAACGTTCCGTGGTTGCTTAGCCCTCCGACGATCGCTGGGGCTGGTGGATCAGGACCCGTCTTAGGGGTCTTGTGACCGATACTGATGAGGTCGGTAAGGGGGTTTCCATCGAGTAGGTGGGCAGCGTAGGTCGTTGTTCGGGCGAGGTTGGTCTCCATGTTGAATCCTGTTACAGGGTAAGCCTGGTTCTCGTATACCTCGAATTCATGAGTCTCACCCTCTTGAACAGCAATGATCATCTGCGAGGGCGAAGCAACGCCATCTCGAGGTAGCCACTATTGCGCTCGGTCAGTCATAGTACCGACGATAGCCAAGAGAGAGCTTACCCCATGGTTGGCTAGCGTGTTCAGCCCAGGACAAGGTCCGCGGATGTCACCCTCCTTGGGTTCCAGGTAAGGGTGAGCAGCATCGTTGACGAGCATTGCACCTTGGAACATGGGTGGGGGCGGAGGATATGGCGGGTCGACGAACTGGGATGTATCCATGGGTGTTGCACTTTGCATTGGTGGTTGATCATGAGCGTTAGAGTGGTGGTCAGGAGCTGGTTCACGAGATGGAGCGCCATGGGTGGACTTCTCAAATCGGAACCCAGGGATGGCTTGGACTGTGCTTCCAAGTGCAAGAACGGCGAGGAGGGTGTTAGAGAGCATTGCTAACAATTGGGAGTATGAAGACGGGTAACCCGAAGCAATAGAGAAACCCTGAAAGTGAGTGGCCTTTATGTATTAAGGTCTCCGTCACACTTATCTGAACGCATTTGTGAGTTACGTACTGACCGCAGTGTCCATCACCGCCCACTCCCTGTAAAACCTCAAACATGCACAGGGCGTGGAGAGCAGGTCAATTGAAAGCGATACATAGTAACATACCCTTCACCAGCGTTCTTGGCGTCATGCATAGGGTCCTGGAGAATGAGCTGACCTAAATCACAACTGTAAGCCTCTGCATTTCTGCCATCATTTTGCGACACGTTCTATGAGAAGGGTTGGTCGGGCGTCCAGCAAGCCAACCATCGCGCTTGGAATTTATGTTGGCATAGAGACTCGAAGGTGTTTAGGAGACAGACCAGCAGGAAAACCGGCTGCTGAGGCTGTTCACCAATGAGGCCACCTTTAATTGTGAGTCGCCGACACCGCCGTCGTTTTGAAGCGCTTGCACGGTATGTAAGTATGAAGGTGCTACTCTTCCGTACTTCCGGTTTCCCTGGTAGCAAGCCCACCATTCGTTTACTGACAGCGCCAACAGATTTCATTGAAATAGCCATTGCTGCTCTGCTCCAGCATTCTCCGTTTCCTTGCTTGGAAGACATTATTAGTGACGAATACTATTTGGCATACGGTCCCCAATATTTAATCGGATATGGTGTAACGGCTAACATTGCCGCCTCTCATGCCATATGACTGCTCGCGGCAGCTCGGGGTTCGATTCCCCGTATCCGAAACTTTTTGTTACTTCCTAAGAATGACACGAAGCTAACAATCCGCCCATGCCCATGACGCTTGTGACCGGGAAGCTCGCGGTTCGGTCCCTTTGAGCTCTTTGCACTGGAAGAACACTTTCTCTTCACTTATTGATTAGGAATCCAGGTACCCGTCCTCAACCAGGAACATCCTAACCCTTGGAGTAGAGTTTGCATTCTGCTAGGCAACTCGCCCTTCAGTGCTCACAAGACGGAAGCCCACATTGCGATGCATGGAGTTAGAACGTCTGCCTTGCACATTGGCACCCAACACGCCTTCTCGTTCCAGATTATTGGATCATCAGACCATCAAAGTGTCGATTGGATGATGTTGGCTCAAGAAGGACCGCATTCATTGGTCGCTACCTTTTACTGCTGGAAGGGCCGCAGTGAGTCCTCACTGATATACCCTCGTGGCATTTACATTTTGGCTCCGAGTTGAAGAATCCTAGTATCTATATGGAAGCGCTGAAACAGCGTCATGCGGGGTGCTCGAGCCATCTCGAAGACCTTCTTCCATGTGGTCATTTGCCCACTCCAATTGGTACGTGATCAACTCTATTGACCCTCTGAAAGGCCAGTGATTTCCCATTAATGTTTAGATTAGCTTTTTAATCGTTTGATCTAACCAAGAATCGAGCATTTCGAGGACCTTACACCTTGAATCAAGCACGGGTAGAATGAGACCACCCTCGGTCTCAGACTCTTGGCGGGTGCTTTTCCTGCGCTGATCTTATGGCGATCATCGTACCCCCTTTTGCATCCGTTGTCTTTATGGGTCAACGAAGAGCTAAGCCCTGGAAACCTCGATGATCTGCGTGTCTACTTTTGTCCATGAGTTTTCCTCGTCTCCTCATCACTCTTGGATGTAACAGGTGTCAGAAGGCGAACCACAGAGGCTTCTCTTTCGCCCCTTGTAAGAAGCGCAACTGAGGCCTTTATCACAGGATCACTCCTGATTGGCCTTCATTTCAACGGCAGAGTAAACCTCGGTACTTTGCTTACCAGAATGAGGGATGGCGGCCGGGTGTTCAAATACCCTTCGCTTACTGCTCCTTTTGGTTTCCCCGTCCCCTTTCTTTTACATTCCCTCGTTTTCTACTTCCACCACAACCAATCGCCAATGAGCTCGATGGAAAAGGGAGAGTATCGCGCCTCATCCTCAAACCCTGCAGTGCCATCATATGCGCAAGCCCCGCCCACTGCCGTGGTTGCTGCTGCACCTGTACCACCCAGGGCCCCTTGCGGCAACCCTACGCCTGCGTGAGTCCCGAATCCCTCGCTAATGCAGGCGCAACTAAACTACATCTGCTTTGCTTGGGTAGCGGAATGTTTGCATTTGCAGCGACAATGATGCTGATGGCGCTGTATAACCTCAACGCCGGGGGCGTAACAAAACCCAATGTCCTCGTTGGCATGCTCATCTGGGCAGGCGGTGTGGTAGAACTCATCGCTGCTGTCCTCGAGTTCATCAACGGAAACACGCTATTCGCAACATGTACGTCACATGTTATTGACATCCGTTCATCGCTGCTTCGCGATGACCCATGACAGAGGAAGCAGACAAAGGTTGACCCGGTATTTTTCCTTTGTATAGGTTTCATGACGTTCAGCACGTTCTGGTTGAGCTACGCTGCGGTGTTGACGCCTAGTTTGGGCATCATCTCTGCCTTTGATGATCCCGCCGAGTTTGGTCGAGCAGTGGGATTGTATCTGTTCGTCTGGTGGATCACGATAACAATGCTCCTAATCTCGGTCATCGGGAAAAGCGTCCTTTTCACCATCCTACTGTCTGTCGCGTCGACGGCGGTCCTCATGTCTGCTTGCGGTAACTATCTCGCGCATAGTGGGTGAGTAACTCTCGCTATTTGTCTTACTTGCAGAAAAGAGGCTGATGAGCGGAGTGTAGGCTGAGCATTGCTGGAAACTCTCTTCTTATTGTGGTCTGCAGCGAAGCGTACTACATCGGCCTTGCCGGTCTTCTTGCTTCAGATCCCAATCCCCTCTTTACTCTCCCTATGTTTTGAACATACCCGTCATATCTCTCGCTGACGGCATTTATTCATTGTATTAGTATGCTCTCCTATCTGTAGCCTTAGCCCTCCCCGCCCAGTCAATACCACGAGCGCGATCATCAAGTCATCATTGCTGTGCCTACGTGCCATTCCTGGCCATTTATTTGGTAAGGTTCGGAATGCCTCGTGGCCTGTGCTGGGTCGTGGCTGAATCTGTGTTGATGGGCGCCAATCGAAGTTGAAATCCTCGATCGCGACCACCACCATGGAAAGCAAAAGGCTTGAAGCAGGAACCTACGCAATAATCAATGTTCGGCTTCCTCGCTGGGTCTTGGATACAAAAGACGGCGTAGGTGAGCTAAGCTCTCCCATACACTCTGCTTCCGATTTACTCATGTTTATCCAGTCGTCGCGTACCCGTACATTAGCTCGCCCTCACAGCAGGTATGAGGCACTGCCTTGTCTTGACAAACTAAAGTCAAACGTGGCTCCAGTGGAACCTTGAATCCTCTGATGGCATTTGCTGGTACATAAAGAACGTTGCAAGTGGTCGTTACCTAGGCCTACCCGTCGATGAACGCGTTAAAAACGCTCTGACCCTGCGAGAGGTGGACCATAAATTCGCCTGGCATCTCCGGCGGTTCGAGGATAAGGAACACCAGTTTCTGTACGTGTAATACTCGCTCTCTTACTTTACGTTCTCTCTGATGTGCTTTGCCCAGGCCATACGTTCCTTACACCAATTATGTCATTGATCTTGACCCTCGAGACCCCCAACCAGGCAGGACTCTCTACGTCCATGAGGATGGTAAAGGTCCTCACCAAGCATGGCACTTCACTAAAGGTAGACTTTGAAAGTGTCCCTTAGACGACTGAAAATAATGCTCATGAACAGATCTTCACCTCGAAACTTCGCGTATTCTTCAAGACGGAAGGAGGTATAAGATCCTCAACGCTCAGTCAAACACAGCAATCACAGTCAAGGATGATCGTACAGGTAGGTGCCTTTAGAGTGCTCCCCATATACAAGGGACTAAACTTGATCGACCCAAGTCGCTTGCTTCCAATCTGACCATCGAGAAGGGCAGATGGTGAGTGCATCAATTGACAGCTTGAGTACCGCTAATGGCATCTCTTCGCTTGTCGTCAGTTCCAGGCTGTGGAAACCGCGAACGGATGGGCGTTCAGGAGTGTCAAGACCAAGCAATACCTGGGCATACCACACACCATTGTCTATCCCGTCCACGGCCCGCGCCTGACATCTGTAGAAAAGGAATTCACTTGGATGGTACTCCCCTACTATGACGGGTCTAAGAAGTTCAAGTGGGTGGCTGCTTCTGCCGAAATAATAATCAGCTCATCGAAGTAACAAAAGGATCTGGCTTCCTTTCACGCGGATGGTGTTGGACCTTCATCACGGACAGAAGGAGGATGATACACCAATCCACATCTGGGGAACTACAAGTGTCGAGTATATTTGGTGGAGATTCGAAGAAGGCGAGTCAGCACCAATCGGACTACTTCACGTCTAGTATCCAGGCTCATTGCAAGTCCCAATTAAGTAGTTCTTGAGCCATGGGGTGACAATAAGTCAGCGTCTGAGGATGTCACAGGCGAACGTGATCCTGGAGTATAATCGTGCCAACGCTCCTTATAGTTCTTGTAGGCTGTTAGTTACTGCTTCATGATCAAATGGATAATGTGCAATCGATTGTGCTCATACAAAGGAGTACAAACAATTCATCGTCCAAGAGCAAATGTATGACGAGTGCTGCTCCTGACGAAGCGTTTGCATCACCCTCAAGATCATCCGGGCTCCCGCTCATGATTCATATGTCTCCCTTCGAAGCTGGCGAGGGGCCAATAATGACTAATATAGACAAGTAGCTTAGTACTATAAGAAGCGAAATAATACCTTAAGCCACGTCGGCGAGAAATTCTTGGAGATTACCGAAATCCAAATTGGCCCCAGGAAACCTCTCCTTGACGAGGTCCCAGATCCACTCAAAGGGAGTCGCAAACGAGATATCAGCTCCACCCCTTCCATTCGAGTTGACTGCCCCACCCGTCAGGAGGGCAACCAACTCGCCGTTAGGGGACACAATGACAGATCCTGAATCACCTCCTCTGGCGAAAGTGCCAGTTTCGCGCTCATGAGATAGGATGGGTACCTCGAGTGAATCCACATGGCCAAGAAGGCTGTACTTGCGCACAAAAGCTAGATATCTGGTGAGCGTACCGACGGTGGTGTGGCTCCTGGAGCCTCGCTTAATAACGCGACGGATGTGATCGACTGGGATGTTGGATGTGTCTGGCTTTGTGATCTGATCAGCAGTGAGTATGCCTCGAAGAGAAAGGAGACCGTCGTAAGGGTATTCGAATTTGGATGGGAAGCCCGTACGATCGTTCATCAATTCCTTAAACGCCCATATGTCCTTCTCCGGACCTGAAAGGAAGAGGTAAATATAAGCTCAAGGGTATCGATGAAAAGAGGGCTAACGTACCAAGGTTGAGAACGTTGCCAATCATATTTCTGAACTTGTCCTTGTAGAGCTCAATGACGCAGAAATCGTTGGTGTAGCGGTTCGGAGCATCACCAACACCAATAGGGGGAGACCAGCAGACGAAACCGATAGCTCTGTCCTTAGGCTGACTCCATCTATGCTCGATATCGATATAGAACCTTTTGAGACCGCCGATCTCCCTGCGTATTTTGGACAGCTCGAGCTCGATCTCCGTTCGCCTGATCTCGATTCCGTCCTCCGCTCTACCGCTCAGAGAACGGATTCTCCCTTCGAGAGTTTCAACAGAGTTATAACGCTTGCCAATAGCGGCTTGGATAGAGTTGAGATATTCCGCAAACGCAGACGGGCTCATCAAAAAGACCTCCCGCCTGGGTGTGACAGATTCTAGTCAGGGACGAGTGTCAGAAACATTTCAAAAATTCTCAAGAGTTCAAAAAGGTA